CACATAAATCGAACGAATTGCTTACAAAAAGCTTCGTCGATTCAGTGCTAGTTAGACGAGTTGCTACGCGCGACATACATATAATAGCCTAGTCATCAAAGCGCGTAGAAGAAGGCCGCGAACAGGATGAGCGTGGGCACGAGGAGCGTCACCGCGGCGCCGACAAGCGCCGCCTTCAGGGAAATGCGCGCTTGCCCGACCGTCGCCGCGAAAGCGGCCGTGCCGTCGAGGCGCGCGGCCGGCGCCGCGGGCGCCTCGCCCCCGTCGACCTCGCGGAGCCGCGCGGCGAGCGCGCTGGCGCCCGCGCCGTCGATGGCGACGACGCCCGTCGAGGACGAGCGGTAGATGATCGCGTTCGCGTCCGCCCCCGTCGAGGACGACAGGTAGACGATCGCGTCGTACTCGGGCACGCCGAGCGCTTCCGCGGCCGTCGCCTTCTTCTTCGTCTTCTTCGAGGCGTTGAACGGGAGGCGGCCGCGCACGAGGACGGGGAGCTCGCGCTCCTTGGCGTCGTCGAAGATGCGGCGGAACGTCGCCGCATGCGCCCCGCCGGGCTTCGCGGTGACGATCGAAGTCACCGTCGCGATGCGAGAGACCTTCTCGATCAAGGCGTCCATCCTGAGTACTTCCGGAGTCGAAGTTTGAGACGATGGAACCTCTGAGGCGATGCGACGGCGAAACCTGGACGCGACGCGCAGAGAGCTGAAGGGGTGCCCTCGCAACGCGTGGAGCTCGTCGGCGGTGACGAGAAGATGTCTGCTGAAGCCCTGGTCGTCGGCGGCGGTGACGAGAAGGTCTGCTGAAGCCTCGCGCGTCGGCGGCGGCGACGAGAAGGTCTGCTGAAGCCTCCCCCACAACGACGCGTCGGCGTGGCAAGTCTCGGCGCCGGCGAGTTGTCGAGAGACCTCGAGAACTCTAGTGAAACATACGCGTGGAGACGAGCCTCGGGAGACATCCACGCAGTTCCCAGCGGCTTCGACTATCCCCAAGGCCCGCCTCAGCGCTTGGACACACAAAAAAAAACAACAAAACAACAATAGACGAGCATCACCCCGTGGCGTGGTGGGCGACGTCGTCGTCGAGGGGCGTGTCCGGGTCCGCCGTGAGGATGGGCGCGAGGAGGCCGCGGCGCTGCTGGCGCGTGCCCATGGCCGGGCGGGGCGGCGGGCCCCGGGGCGGCGGCGGCGACGCGAGGGGCGGCGGCGACGCGGCCGGGGGCGCGGTCGCCGCGGGCCGCGGGTCGGCGCGCGGCGTCGCGGGCGCCGCGGGCTCGGGCCTCGGGTCGGGCCTCGGGTAGGCCGGGTCGGGCTTGCGCTGCTTCGGCGCGGGCGTGGGCGAGGTCTCGGCGCGGCGCTTCGCCCGGAGCGACGCCGAGGACGAGTGCGAGTCGTCGCGCGACGAAACGGACGACTGCGGCGACACGGAGTCGTCGCCGCGGCGCCGCGCGGCCTCGGGCGCCTCCTCCGGTCGCGGCGCGGCGGGCTCTCCCGGCGCGGCGGGCGCTTGCGGCGCGGCGGGCGCTCGCAGCGCGGCGGGTTCTCCCGGCGCGGCGGGCTCCCGCGGCGCGGCGGGCTCCCGCGGCGCGGCGGGCTTCGGGGAGGGGGCGTCGGCGGCGGCGGGCCGGTCGTACTTGGGCTCCTTGAGCGCCGTCTGGCGCGGCTTCTTGGGCCGCGGGCGGCCGTAGTCGTCGCGGTCGCGGCGCTCGGCGTCGGCGGCCGGCGGCTCCGCGGCGTCCTTGGCGAAGCGCACGGTCTTGCGCGGGGGCTTGCGGGCGTGGACGCGCCCCTCGGCGATCTCGTAGGGCGCGCGGGGCTTGCGCCGGAGCGCCCGCGCGAGCGGCCGCGCGAGGAAGCCGATCGCGGCCGCGACCCTCTTCGCCGGCGAGACGTACCTGGCCTCGAACGCCGCGCGCCGGTCGGCCTCGCGGCGGTCCCGCGCCTCCTCCCGCGCGGCGAGCGTCCGAAGCCGCTCGTCGCGCCGGTCGGCCTTGGCCTGGAGCACGCGCTTCGCGGCGACGTCGCCGGCGACCGCGCCGAGCTTGACCTCGAGGCGGTCGCGCACGGAGACCTCGTAGGGCTCCGGGCTCCGCTTGCGCCGGAGGCCCAGCAGCCGCTGGAACTCGCCCGTCTCCCGGAGCGCCGCCTCGGCGACGGCGTAGTCCGCGGCGACGACGTCGTCGCGCGTCGCCGCGCCCTTCTTCAGACCCTCGAGCCATTGCTTCGCCCGCTCTTCGGGCCCCGCGGCCTCGTCCCGCGCGAGCTTCCGGTCGTCCGCGAGGCGCCGGAGCCGCGCGACGAAGACGGCGGCCCAGACGGCGCCCTTGAACTTGCGCCGGCGCAGCCGCCGCTTCATCTTGGCGCGGTCGACGGCCGCGGACTCGCGGAGCAGGCTCCGCCGCGCGAACGCGAGCTGGATGTCGTGGCGCGGGTTCTCGTCGAAGACGCCGCCGCTGGGACGCCGCTCCGGCGACGTCACGGCCGCGAGGAAGCCGCCCTTGTCCCGGAGCCCCTCGTCGTCCTCGAGGATCGCCGCGAGCTTGGACCGCTGCCGCGCGACGCCCTGCTCGGCGAGCGCCGCGGCGCCCGGCGGCAGGACCACGGGCTCGCCGGGGTCCTCCGGCGGGCCCCGGCGGCGGAGCTGCGCCGTGTCCACGGAGCCTGTCGCGAGCTCGGGCTGCGGCGGCGCCGCGTCGTCGAAGTCGTTCTCTTTGTGGTTTCGCGGCGCGTCGCAGCGCTCGTAGCACTCGCCCTCGTGCCGCTTCGGCACGTAGCGCCCGTCGTTCAGCAGCCACATGTTGCCGTGGTGGCCGACGATCATGCGCACGTCCCAGGGCCGCAGCCCGTAGCGCTGGCTCGTGACGATGATCCACTCGCGGCGGTCGACGACGGGCTCGCCCGGCGGCGGCGGCGGCCGCCGCCGCCGCCGCTTGACGCCGCGGCTCTCGCGCCAGAGCCGGTGGCACTCGGCCTTGTGGCCGTGGACCCAGTCGTCGATCTGGCAGCGGTGGCTGCAGTAGGGCCGGTCGCAGCGCACGCAGCGCAGGCCGCCGGGCTTGGTGCAGAACGCGCACGGCCGCGACGGCGCGGCGGACCGCCGCGGCCGCGCGGGCTGTGGGAACTGGTCGACGACGACGGTCTGGTAGCCCCGCGTCGGGTCGACCTCGGGCGCGGACTCGTACATGTCGCGCCAGGCCGCGACGTACGTCGGCGTGCGGCCCCGCGCGGGCGACTCGTCGCCGCCGCCGCTCTCGTCCGACGACGACGACGACGCGTCCGGCTCCGGGAGCGAGCCGCGCGGCTCGCCGGGCGCCGTCCGGTCCAGCGACGGCTCCGGACTGAGCGCCTCCTCCGCGGGGTGCTCCAGCGGCGGACCGATGCTTCGCTCGGACGGCTCGTCCAGCGCCGACGGCTCGAGCGACGGCTCCGGGAACGGGCTGATTCTTTGCTCGGACGGCTCCTCCAGCGTCGACTTCTCGAGCGACGGCTCCGGGAACGGGCTAATTCGATGCTCGGACGGCTCCTCCAGCGTCGACCGCTCGAGCGACGGCTCCGGGAAGGGGCTGATTCGATGCTCGGACGGCTCCTCCAGCGTCGACCGCTCCAGCGACGGCTCCGGGAACGGGCTGATTCGATGCTCAGACGGCGCGTCCAGCGTCGACCGCTCCAGCGACGGCTCCGGGAACGGGCTGATTCGATGCTCAGACGGCGCGTCCAGCGTCGACCGCTCCAGCGACGGCTCCGGGAACGGGCTGATTCTTTGCTCGGACGGCGCGTCCAGCGTCGACCGCTCCAGCGACGGCTCCGGGAACGGGCTGATTCTTTGCTCGGACGGCGCGTCCAGCGTCGACCGTTCCAGCGACGGCTCCGGCGAGGCGCCGGCCTTGTCCTCCGACGGCTCGACGAGCGACGGCTCGAAGGCCGACGGCTCGAGCAAGGACGCCGACGGCTCGAGCAGGGACGCCGACGGCTCGAGCAGGGACGCCGACGGCTCGAGCAAGGACGCCGACGGCTCGAGGAGCGACCGGCCGAAGTCGAGGGGCGGCTCGAGGTCGAAGGGCTCCGGCGACAGGCGCGGCTCGCGCGCCGCGGGCTCCGCGTCGAGCAGGGTCGCCGGCAGCGCGAGCTCGGCCCAGGACGCGCCGGCGCCGCTCTTGCCGCGGACGCGGAGGTCGTACGCGGCGCGCGGCGCGGCGACCTTGGACGTCGGCGGCGCGGCGGCCTCGACGGGCTCCCCCGGCGGCGGCGCGAAGCGGTTCGGCACGCTCGGCTCGCCGTCGAGCGCCGACGGCGCCGAGACCTCGAGCGTGACGACGCTCGGCCGGAACTCGACGGACGGCGACGCGTCGACCGACGGCTCGTCGAACGACGCCCGCGCGGGGCGCGCGTAGCCCGCGGCGGCGCGCGCGGCCCGCATGGGGTCGCCGGACGCGCGCGGCGGCGGCGCCCGCGCCTCCTCCTCGACGCTCGCGACCGCGAGGTCCGCCTCGACGCGGGGCTCCCCGTCCTTCTCCTCCTCGACGCCGGCGTCGTCGCCCTTGGACTCCTCGACGCCCGGGTCCTCGACGACCGACGGCTCGAGGCTCGACGGCGCCGCGAGCGACGGCTCCGCGCGTTCCGCGAGCGACGGCTCCACGAGGAGCTCGCTCGGCTCCACGAGGAGCTCGCTCGGCTCCACGAGGAGCTCGCTCGGCTCCACGAGGAGCTCGCTCGGCTCCACGAGGAGCTCGCTCGGCTCCATGAGGAGCTCGCTCGGCTCCATGAGGAGCTCGCTCGGCTCGTCGTCGACGGGCGCGACGTCGAGGCCGTAGAGCGACGGCCGCCGCGGCCGCGGCTTCGGCGCCTCCTCGAGCGACGGCTCCGGCGACGCCCAGGCGACGTCGGCGCCCGGGATCGTCGTGATGGACGGCGCCGCGACGTCCGGCGCGTCGTCCGGCTCGTCGCGCGGCGCGTCCGGCGGCGCCGCGAGCTCGGGGAAGCGCACGCGGTCGTCGCGCATGCGCTCCCGGAGGCTCCGGCGCGCCGCGTTCGACGGGAAGGGCGCGAGGCCGTCGGTGACGACGTCCGTCGCGTCGAGCCAGGCCTCGCCGCCGCCGGGGTCCTTGGGCCGCGGCGCCTCGTGAGGATCCCAGGGGTTCTCGCGATCCGTGATGATGTCGGCCATGCGCTCGATGGGGTCCTTGAGGCCCTTGAGCGGCGGCTGCGAGACGCGCTTCCGCCGCGGCGGCGACGCCGCGAGCGCCGTCGGCGCCGGCGGCTCGCGCGCCGCGACGGCGCCGACCTCGACGAGCAGGCCCTCGGCGTCGCGGCCCGCGGCGAACTTCCGCGCGCCCGTCTGCGGCTCGTTCGCCGGCGCCTTCTCGTAGGGCGCGCGCCGCTCGCCCAGCGACGCGATGAGCTGGGACGACAGGGGCAGGATGTCGCCCGCGGCCGCGCCCGCGACGCGGTGCGAGTCGAACCACGACGACGGCGTACCGGCCGCGTTCGGCGAGAAGGGCCGCCGCGGCAGGAGCTCGTCCAACGGGGCCGCGGCGCGGTTCTGCGCGACGCGCGGGAAGGCGTTGATCGGCAGGATGATGGCCAGGCCCTCGGCCTCCGCGAGGCCCGCGCGCGGCTCCCCGCGTCCGTCGAAGAGCGTCGCCGCGACCGCGCCTGTGTGGAATTCAAATCTTCAACCCGACTTCAATGTGCGCGTATGCGACAGCTTCGACGCAATCTCTTCGGCCGTGCTTCGCGAACTCGACGAGAGCAATCGATTCGTCCAAAAATCAGCCGAATCGACTTCGATTTGACCAAGCTAGAGAATTTTGAAGTTTGGTCAGGACCACCCAAACCAGTGGTCGAATTCCACGCCGCGACCGCGCGGCGCGCGGCGTCGCCCGCGTCGCCGCGCGCGTCGAGGGCCGCGTCCAGCGCCCGGAGCTCCGCCTCCGCGGACGCGTCGCCGCCGAGGTAGCGCAGCGTCGCCGTCCGGAGCGCGGCCTGGAGCCCC